TAACTCATAAAATAATAGTAAACCACCACTACAAAATAATATATAAAAAATTTATAAAGTCAAAGTTGATAAGAAAATTAAGTTATATATACATTAATAACAACAGAATTTCACAATAAAAATACACTAGATGTACAATTTTATTTAAACTTACAATCTTCTATAGAAAGAAGAAAGCACCAACCACTCGATCAAAATATTATATATATAAATTTATAGTGTTATTGATTTAATTCTTTTCTTCTTGACAAATTATTAGGATTTTAGAACTATTTTAAAACTATTGTTATTCAAGATGGGTTATTGAAAGAAAACTAAGATGATATTTTTTTTTAGTTTACATTTGGGACTCTAACATTTTATTTACTTTATATGTACTCAAAATCTATAATAAGATACAGAAAAAATTGACATAGTGTATAGATAAAAAGAAAAGAAGAAATCATGTGATTCAATTAAATCCAATACGGTCATATATATTATTTTTTTAAAGAAAAGTATGTATAGAGCACCGTATGTGTCAATGAGGCCATGCTATCTCCATGAAAATATTACTCATGCAATTGATCTTTTCGTACTCCATCTCCTATATAAAGACTTGTTTGGAGAAAGATGAACTCACAGCAAGCCAAAAACAAACAATGGCAATTCAATATTTCTTCCTTCTACTCCTTGTTTTCTCCGCAGTGTGCTCCCATGGAGCTCGCCATATGCCTTTCTCCATCATTAATCTTGATAAGAACACTGGAAAGTCTTACAAGATGTTTGATGAGAAGGATTTGACCCGTAATGATTTTCCTAAAAATTTTGCTTTTGGCACTGCTACATCGGCTTTTCAGGTAAAAATTTATAAAAAAAAATTTAAATTAAATATATATTAAAAATATTCTTGAATAAAAACCTTGAAATGCATGCCAATTTTTGCACGAGGAGTTTGCACAATTACATTTTTTTTTTTGGGCATTTCTAATGATAGCTTGAAATAATGTGGGTTCCTTAATTGTTTTTTAAGTTATTATCTTATTATTTGTTATATTTTCTTCTTAATTTTGGTTTTCTTCAATTTCAACATTATTTGTACTTGTCTGTATATAAAATTTAAATACATAATAAACTTTTTAAAAGAAAAATATAGTTCTATAATAAATTGTTAAGAAATTATAAAATACAAGTAATGTGTATATATGAAACGCACTAGAATATTATGATTATAATTATTGTAGATTATTTTTGTTTCATGTTTTATATTAAATTTTATAAAAATAAATTTTCAGATTGAGGGTGTGACACATCGAGGATTTAACATATGGGATAGTTTCACTCACAGATATCCAGGTATGTGTCTTTACATATATAACATCTTGAGAAAAAATTACTTTTAAAAATTTTTTTTTATCTAAACGAATAACGACTTCAATATATATATATATATGTTGAAATTTCAGAAAAGTCAACTGATGGAAGTTATGGAGATATAGCTGCTGATTCCTACCATCTTTATAAGGTAATACTAATTTAGAAAATGTGAAATAAGATCTTAACAAGTTAAATTTTTTTTTTTTTTTATCAATGTTTTTATATGACTAATTTCTTTCCCTACAATAATAGACGGATGTTAAGATGATGAAGGACATGGGTGCCGATGCTTATAGATTCTCAATTGCTTGGTCTCGAATATTGCCAAGTAAGACAACTTCCTAGAAAAGTATATTATATACATGAATATACATATTGAATTTGAAGTTACCATTAAAAAAAAAAATAAAATCATGTGGATTTTCTTAAATGTATCATAGACTTCTATTCAAATTTGAAAGAAATTCAACCTTTCAATCTCATATCAGTAAACTAAAAAAATTAGATATATAAACACTTTGAATTTTCAAGCAAGTTACTTCTATGACCCGAAAAATTTTCTATAGCATAATATTTTTTTTTCTTAACAATTTATTTTACTTTCAGATGGAAGGATAAACGGAGAAATAAATAAAGAAGGGATCCAGTACTACAAGAATCTCATTGATGAACTCTTAGCCAATGGTTGTGATTTCTTTCTTCATAATAGATTATTTTCTATTCGGACATTTAGTGAAAAATATTTTTTACATTCTAATGAATGTTATTTTTGTACTGTGATTAAATACAGATATAGAACCATTCGTGACTATTTTTCATTGGGATGTCCCTCAAACTCTAGAAGACATGTACGGAGGACTTTTGGATCGTAATTTCGTGTAAGTAATTTTGAAAGTAAAAGTTTTGTTTTTAAATAAAGAAATAAGTTTAAAAAAAGAACTTTCTCTATATTCTTGATTGGCTATGAGATAACTAATAAAATATTTTGAAATATTGTCCTAATTATTATTTAATATTTTATGATATTAGGTCACATTATCGAGACTTTGCAAATCTGTGCTTCAAAGAATTTGGTGATAAAGTAAAGTATTGGATAACATTTAATCAGCCATATAGTCTTGGGTTTAACGCTTATGGAAAAGGAGAACAAGCACCTGGACGATGTTCTTCTTGGATGAACAAGAATTGCACAGGAGGAGACTCAGGAACAGAGCCTTACATCGTAGCTTACCATGAACTTATTGCACATGCAGAAGTTGTTCAATTATATAGAAGAGAATATAAGGTTATAACTAAATTCTACAAAAATTATTAGGACAATAAACCTACTTTAATATATTTTAAAAATATAAATTTACTTTAAATATTACTTTAATATCTATTTAAAACTTTTGATTTTAAGCAACAAATAATAATATTGCAGGAAATCCAGAGAGGTCATATAGGAATCACATTGGTAGCAAATTGGTTTTGGCCATTAACGGACACAAAAGCTGACATTGATGCTGCTCAACGTGCTCAAGATTTCAAGCTTGGATGGTAATTAAGCTTATCTTTAATTTTTATTAATGTCTTTATCAAAATTAGACCATTGAATAATAACTTGAAAGAATATGATTGATACTAAATTAAAAGAGAAAATCTTAGCTAAAAAATAAACGAATTTCTATATCTAGATATATTTAATATCACTATCAGCTAACAAATATAATATATCACAAGATGAAATTTTGATTTTAATGCTTTTTATATATTTTGATAGGTTTCTGGATCCAATAATGTTTGGTGATTACCCAGCATCTATGAAGGAGTTAGTTGGCAAAAGATTACCACAATTTGCTCCGTGGGAATCTGAACTTATAAAAGGATCAATTGATTTTATTGGCTTAAATTATTATTTTCCACTATTTGCATATAATAAGCCTACACCTGATCCCAAAAAACCAAGTGTTTTAACAGATGGAAGATTTGGAACTATTGGTAAGTATGATTAACATTAGTAATATGATATTTTGTTGAACTATACTCAATGTATAATGAGGCTTGTCAATTTTTTGTGTAAGAATCAAAATTTGATATTAGATGCCCTTGATTTTCTAAGCATATGTTGATTAAATCAATTTTTTTTTTTTTTTGTTACAGATAATCGCGATGGTGTTATGATCGGTATAAATGTGAGAATTATAATAATATTTTAGTTAAACTTATTAATATATGCATATATACATATTAATAGTATTTTAACTTCAAATTAAAATATTGCAGTCAACACTATTTTGTTATAATGCGACGGGATTTTACGATCTTTTGACTTATATGAGAAACAAGTATAACAATCCCCTCATCTACATTACAGAAAATGGTAAAATTCATTTGTAATAGTTAAGTGTATATATTTTTATTAACAATTATATGTT